GGTTAATGCAGTGTTTTCACAGTTTGGCATCGATGGTTCTACCTCAGTAAAGGATTTAAACACTTGTTTAAATCTGGACCACAGCTCATAATAATCATTTAGTTTCTGAAGCAGCCTGACTTCTCAGAGCTCTTTCTGGAGTTTTTGTTACTCAACGCTGCTGATTAATTGAGCAGCACTGTGTGATCAGATGTTCATCCCATGTAAGGCACCAAAAGGCACATGTGGTGATGTTTGAATTCAGATTAACAGAAGAAAGGCTCAGTCTTAACTGGTTTCTGATTCGAGTTGGAGAACTCCAATTTGTCAGAACGAGCACATATTTAGCATGGATGCTGCCCTCATCCTGCTGCTTTCCGCTCCATCTCTTCCCCACTATCTCTTGATCCCTGTCTCAAAGGGGGGCAGATGAAATATTCAGAGTGGGCTATCAGTGCACAATGTGCCTCCATTAGCAGGATGGCTGCTGGAACACTTAACGTTATCAAGGAAGCAAATCCTGCAGGTCACAGGGCTGAGACAGCAACACTTAGCTCTGCAGCCTCATTCTTTGATTGATCTTTGTATGGGTCCTCATAAAAACCAATTGATTGTCTGCTGCAATATCTTTCACACAATACATTCACACATCATACAGACCCGCTCATGTTTACTTAAATAGTGTATTACTTAATGTTGTCAGAGTACATCTACAGATTCAAATGTTTATGCTGATGTTTGTAGTATTTATCAATATACTTTTTCAGGTGACCTGCCTATGATAAATCATTTTACTAATATTTTTTATTTCATTGAAGTAATGCCATGTGTACGGTTTTCAGGGGTGGAGTTTATCTTATGGGCTGTAATGTTTTTTTGCAATTGTAGACCTATGCCAAAAAAAGCCTTTTTTATTTCTCAACAAACTTGTCTTGTTTCTGAATTTGCTCCAAGTGAGGGGCACATGTATTCACCTCAGCCAATGCTCAACAGCCTAACATTTATTTTATGATTTTCTAAAGTAATTCATCTACAGTATTCCTTGAAAGGCCTCTATATGTCACGATCTGTCTTTGTGGTGTTTTGTCTCGTCTAGATCTGTTTTTGGTTTTCTGTCTGCGTTGTGTTTTGTCTGTGGTTCCCTGTCGTTAGTTTCCCTGGTGTGTCTGATTACCCGATTGTGTTCACCTGTGGCCCCTGTGTTTTCTCCTCCCTCCTCACCTGTGTCTTGTTTGTGTGATTAGTCTTGTGTGTATTTAAGTTCTGGTTTTTCTGTCTGTCTTTGTCGGTTCGTCTTTCGTTGTTGACTGTGTTCACCGGTGAGTGTTCTGTCTGTCCTAGTTCTATTTTTCATTATCCTTGAAATAAAGGTATATCAGGTTAATCTGCATTTGGGTCCTGCTTCCTTCGCTCTACCGTGACAGAACGAACCGACAAACAGATGGACCCAGATCTGGTAGAGGCGCTCCAGTTGGCAGCAGAGAAACCATGTTTTGTTGAGTTTTTACCTGACTGGATTTTGGACTTCCTTCAAGCATGTGATTCCAGGCATGCTTGCTCCCTGTCTCCCAATTCCCAACCTGGCACCATACGAGGCCTGTCCCACCAGCTCCGGTTCCTCTCCGGTCGACACCGGGTCCTGCCCGGCCTCCGGCGCTGGCCCGTCAGCGCCTTCCTGCCCGGCCTCCGGAGCTCTCTGGTCTTCGCCCTCGAGCCCGGCCCCCTGAGAGCCGCGGTCTTCGCCCTCGATCCCGGCCCTCTGTGAGCCGTGGTCTTCGCCCTCGAGCCCGGCCCCCTGAGAGCCGCGGTCTTCGCCCTCGATCCCGGCCCTCTGTGAGCCATGGTCTTCGCCCGCGTTCCCGGCCCCCTGACTCTTCCTGCCGCTGCCCTCGTCCTCCTGACTCTTCCTGCCGCTGCCTTCGCCCTCATGCTCGGCCGCCCGAGTCCCCCACCTTAGACTCTGCCTTGCCCCCGGGCCGTCCGCCCGAATCCCCCTTTTTGAACTCTGCCTTGCCCCCGGGCCGTCCGCCCGAGATCCCTTCCTGGTCCTCTGCTGTGCCTCTGGGCGGTCAGCTCAGTCCCGTCCTCCTGACCCCCTCCACCCACCCTGGTGGCCTAGTGATACGTCCCTCCTCCGGACCCCCCTCCACCCACCCTGCTTGAGGTTTTGGACTTTTGTGTTCTTTTTTTGGGACGTCTGGGATCCGTCCCTTGAGGGGGGGTACCAGGGGCGGACCTAGCACATTTGGTGCTCTAGGCGAGCTTCACCACTGCGCCCCCCCCCCCCGCAATATCAAAACATCTTAACAGTAAAGTACTGCACCTTTATTTATTACAAGCAAGGACAAGAGCTAAGAATAAATGTAAAGTGCACACTAAAGAATTAAAACAAACAACTTAGGTAACAAACAATAATAATAATAACAAACAATAAAAGAATGTTCAAATTTCAAAAAAAGAAAATTAAGAAGAAATGTAAAATATGTTACACATGTCAAATAATCAATATATAATATGCTAAACAAATAAATAAAAATTAAGAACTATTTACATTCCACTCACTATCATCACACAAGGTTAGCCTACATATTAGCTCCTACTGGTTTCCATTTACAGTGCAATCCTTCTGGCCTTCCTCGCTGCAAAGTCATCAATCACATCATCATGTGAAATCTGACCACCAACCTCATGGTTAATACTGATTACAGCCAGACCACTGAGGCGTTCTTGAGCCATGGTTGACCTCAGGTATGTTTTCAAGAGTTTTAATTTGGAAAAACTCCTCTCGGCTGAAGCTACTGTTACTGGTAGCGTTGCACTGATCCGCAGAGCAATACACAAGTTGGGATATATTTCGGTGAGCTGCTTTGTGTGTATGAATTTCAACAACTCAAGAGTTGTCATGCTCTTTGATGGCAAGTCAGGTACATTTTCCAACTCCTGAGCCAGCTCCTTCCCATACAAATCCGATTTCCCTCCATGGCTTAAGGTGTGTGCAACTGCCTCTGCTTGCTTCATCAGCTCTTGGTGTGGCAGGTCTGGGAAGTACAGAATGCCAAACTTGTCTTGCACATGTTTAAGAGTGGTAAACCTCTCCTTTTGTGCTGACACTGCAGCATCCACCACCACATTAAGGAAGGTTACCTCGAGATTTTGCAAGGCATCCCTCAATGTCTCATCAGGAGACTCATATGAGAAGTGCCTCTTTGTTGACTTCAGCCGCTTTTGTTCCTTGTCAACTGATGCAGCAGGTGGTCCCAGATATTTTAAAAGTGAATCTAAAATGATATAACAAAATGTGTATTATCAACATTGAATAATTTCCATTTGTTAAATGTAGCTATTATTTAGTTAGTAAGCATTTGGACAGCCTGACAGGTCTGATTGAACTAATCAAGAGCTATGCCTATGTTATTAGAACAGTTGAACCAGGTGTGTTAGTTCTGGGTTGGAACTAAAACATTCAACAGGACTGGAGTTGAGAACCACTGAGCTAGTTAGCTAACGTTAGCGCACATTATAACAGGGTTGAATTTGGCAAATGTTTGACTCGGATAGTCAATGTGCTTTCTGAGGTAAACTTAACGTTAGCTAACGTTACCAACTAACTAACATTCCACCACACTGGCTAGCTCGCTACACCAAAACTAACATTGTTATTATTACTAATATTTCTATTTCATGACACAACGAAAATAGCCTTATGACAGTTTCGACTGAATGGCAATAACAAATGCTGGCTAGCTAACTTTGGCTTGGCTAACTAGCAAGATTACATGATCCATTCGCTAATGTTGACAATACAATCAAAATTGCATACATTTCACCTTGGCACGTTTCTCTTCTTCTGTTTTTATACTGCGCCCCGGATGGCTTTTGCCTCTTCATAGTTCTCTAACGTTAGTCTTTCTTTCCTCAACGCTCAATTTAGAAACACTTGACCGATACTCATCAATGCACAGCGCTCTAGCATGTTCTGACTGTGAACACCTAAAGCCGAGGCTCTTAGACCGACCGACCGTTTTAGATTTTTGTCTTATTTCCCCTTATGTTAGAATTTTTTTTTATGTAAGAATAATGGTTGCAGATATAGAGGGGGGCGCCAAAACTACGCCAAGCAACAAAAAAAAAAAAAAAAGTTTTTTTTTTTGTGTGCAATTTTTGGCGCCCCCCTCTGGGTGGCGCTCTAGGCAACCGCCTGTATCGCCTGTAGGAAGCTCCGCCCCTGGGGGGTACTGTCACGATCTGTCTTTGTGGTGTTTTGTCTTGTCTAGATCTGTTTTTGGTTTTCTGTCTGCGTTAGTTTCCCTGGTGTGTCTGATTACCCGATTGTGTTCACCTGTGGCCCCTGTGTTTTCTCCTCCCTCCTCACCTGTGTCTTGTTTGTGTGATTAGTCTTGTGTGTATTTAAGTTCTGGTTTTTCTGTCGGTTTGTCTTTCGTTGTTGACTGTGTTCACCGGTGAGTGTTCTGTCTGTCCTAGTTCTATTTTTCATTATCCTTGAAATAAAGGTATATCAGGTTAATCTGCATTTGGGTCCTGCTTCCTTCGCTCTACCGTGACACTATAGGAACATCTAACATCCTTTTCAATCATCACACCGTTTTTAGAAATAAAAACATGATGTAGTCTTTCCTTCGTCAATTCCAGGAAAATAAGTCATAGAACTGTTGTGTGGTTTCATGAAATTTGACTTTATTGTACATTTAACAGAAGAGAAAGACATGGACTTATAGGCTATGTCACAATAAGTTAGGCTAGCCTACATGAAACAAAAAAGGATTGACAAACATATAAACAGTTTTACTTGGTTACCATGGAAACAGGGGGGAATTAAATCATGATGATGGGGACCATAGATATATTCACCCATTCATCCTCGTGTGCAGTGAGGCCATGAATGCCCCCCGGCTCCTGCTCCGCGGTTCACCTCCTCAGCAGCACCCAGCCTGTCGCATCCTCTCCCTGGCAACGGGAGGAGGAGGCTGCCCGGGACGAGGGAGGGTCCCGCTGTCCCACGTGCCCTCCTCACCGCAGACACATTTCTCTCCGCTTCCCCGTGCCATCATTTCCGCATACCGCAGATTGACATACATCCTCACACCCATATACACCCAAACTCTCCCACGGAGCGATGCATCCGAAGCGCGCACTCTCCCTTCCCCTCACTATTTCCGCACTGATCAATATATAATTTTCGCCATAGGTCCGGGTTATGATTCGCGTTTGATCCTTCTGATATGCTCACCAAAGTCTCGGTGTCTGTCTGAGAAAGGGAGAGAGAGAGAAACACAGAGAGGGGGAGAGATGAAAGGACCCGCATCATCAGATGTTTAGCAGATCCTCTCTCGCTCTTCGCCGTCATTCCTGCTGTGCGGTTCTTGGTCTTTTTCCTCCCTACCGTCGGCCGAGTTCGTGACATTGTTGCGGCTCTCGATGTTGTAATCCGAGGGAATATGTGAAGATCATGCTGGCGGTGTGGTGCTTCATGGTCTTTGCTGCAGTGGGCGAGAGGCTTACGGTATCAGGTAAGAGAGAGTGTGAGGGAGGTTTGGATAAAGAGCGGGAGCACCCTTTTTCGTTTCCTTTGCATCCACAATTTGTTTTCACTTGCACCAGCACTTTCTAAGTCCGGCGATTTTATTGTAGGAGTCACCCGGTGCCAAGCAGCACTCTGTCTCCGAGGCGATTGATTTGCTGCATCAACACATTCCCATCGCAGCCCCCCTCGCATTTATCCATAACCATTACCAGCGGTGTTTAATTCATATAAACGCACAATGATATAACCTGCCAAACACCAGTTACCGTGTTTGACAGCCTGTCTAACGATTGCTGAAATGTGAGGCTATGGCCCTGTGCAATTATTAAGATGGGCGTCAGTCTACAATGTAGCCTAAAAACTATTGCAAATTGCCACATTCATTATTTCCTACAATATCTTATTGTGGCCATTACATTAGAATAGATCAGTGACAGATTCACTCGTCAGTGTGATCAATTACATCACCATACAATTAAAGAAACAAACACTTATCTCGGTCATCCCACATTGTGTTTTATTAAACAATATATCACCTCTATAATGTTCACATTACCAGCCAATTTAGACAGGTGTGTGCCTGCCTACATGGCCAACACACCCTTGCCCTCCCTCCCTGTGAGTTTCTCTGTTGTTCGTCCTGCAGGTGTGGACAGGAGCCCAGTGCAGGATGGAGGCATCTGGGACTGGTTCACCCCAGCAGGGCAGCCGGACAGCGGGGACACTGCCATCGAGGTCACCTATCCAAAGCGGCTGGTCCAAAAGATCGAGTCGGAGGGGGAAATGGCTCGTGACTACTTGGATACCAGGGTGAAGAACAGCACTGAGAACACTTTGGTAAGTTCTAAGTAACACAGCTTTTGGCATCAATTATTTCTCATATCCCCACTTCTGTTCATTTTCACATTGGTTCTATCTGAAATTCTGAGTTCAGTGGTCGTAGTGTTTTAAGTGTTTTGGGTGAGGAACATCAATGGGGCTTTGATAGGGTTTTAAGAATCCCCCAGCAAAAATCAGGAGTAGATTGGTTCATTTTCTTTCTGGACCAAAATCACCTGGAGCGGGGGCTTGCAGCTTGATATGCAGTTTGTGAGTTCAGGAAATCATTGAATATGTTTTATCTAGTGTTCAGTATCATCATACAACCTTACTGAGGAAGATTCACTATTAGGGACATTGTACCAAGTGTGTGTGTGCACATGTGTGTGTGTGACATTAAGACAGACTGTTACTCCGCTGGTGGGAACCACATTGTTCCAGTGTCTGTAACAGTGCTGCTGAAGCTGCACGGGGATGGCAGGGCGCTGTTTTGCAGCAGACTCCTCTCTGATTTTGACCTAGTTAGTCACTGAAAATACCTTTGAATGTCCACCGTGAAGTAATATCAGCTGAGAGGAAGCACAGACATACATTGTGTTTTTTACAGCCTTTTTCTTCTGCCTAAACTCAAGCCAACTTGAACCTTTAGACCTGCTTTCTCTTTTTACCGTGCAAGCTTTGTAGTAAATGCACAGTTGACCAACAATGTCTTTAAATGTTTGTGTGTAGTGCCTCTCATCTTCACATGATAAAGCTTAGCCCGCCCTGAAATATTGACTCATTATTTCCGATCATCCGGCTGCTGGGCTGAGCTCTCCACTTCTTCATTATTCAGTGGTGTGTTAAAGTATGTCCCCATTCATTATAAAGCAGGCCTGTGTGAGAAATACTGCATGGCCAAAGAGGCTTTAGCAAACCCCCCCATCTCTCTCTTTTGGTCATGCTGATATGATGTAGTTCATGTAACTGTTATGAGAGAGCACATGATTAAAGACTATAGGTCAAATGAATGTTATTGCCCCTGGAGAGCAAGCTACTATGAATACAACACGACAGCATCTCACATGATAGACATTCAGAATATACAAATAAGGACACTGTTCAAGTATACAATGTTTCAGAGGTCCATGTTTTAGCTGCTGCTCTTCTCCAGACCTGCTGTGTTTTGTTTTTTTTAAATATTAAAGACACTTGGAGTGAGGGACATGATACATTTAGAAGCAGCTGGGGATCTTGAGCTGACCCTTTTCTTTCTCTTGTGTCACATCATGCTGCGATGAAAATTGTTGACACAGTGCTTTTGCCGTACTTGTTTTTGTTGTGATAAATTATTTGTGTCCCTAAAAAACTAATAATAAGATTCCTTTCTTTCTGTTTTATTTAGCATAAAGACTTCATTTCTGGTTTAGCAGTTGACATGCTGTTCAAGGACAGCTATATTATTGGCTGGTAGGTTATCTACCGTCAGGTTATCTGAAATTGATTTGATTGGTTCATTAAAGCCCTGTATGTCATTTGTGAAACAACCACTTTGAGAACAATTCCCACATGTGTTTTTATGCTTAACATAAAGAGGTCATTCAACTTCCTTGGCATTACTTATTATCTAAAAAGTAGAAGGGGACTTGTTGAATGAAGCCCTCTGTCAAGACCCTTTCCGTAACAAAAACATAATGTGTGTATACGCAGCATGATTCAGCTCCAAACATGTACCGGATTCTGACTTGGACTATGATACAGCCCCCCACCAAAGTTTTATGAAAACTAAGTTAACTAAGTACTTTTTCCTTCAGGGTAACATTTGCGAGAGCAGCTTCTAAATGGAGCTGTTTTTGTCAAGAAGAAATAATGAATCTCACCTTTTGAACAACCTTAATTAGAAGTCCTTCAGGTGCCTAGCAAATTTACATTTGAACATAGACATCCTTCTGAGCAGATAAATAAAAGGTTTGGCAACCACCTTAAAGGTGGGGTAGGTAATTCACTTCAGAAACACTTTTTGTTAAATTCCATGCAATGCTCTTAACATCCCGATAGCAATGAATACATTAAATGCTTTGACAATAAATATATACAAATATTTCATCTGTGGAAGCCGTGGCGCTGTAAAAAGCAAGACCAATTGTCTTCCTCGGGCCGCGGCAGATAACTGGATGGCCTACCTGCCTGTCAGCCTTCCATCTCGTGCACAAACATATCTCGTGCCCTCATTGGTCATGTGCACGTTCGTGTGTTTTGGAGGAGGGGCTCTGTAAGGAAGTCTGAATGAAGGGGCCTTTTTTTTCCGGCTGTGTACTTTCAAATTCTAGCGCACTCGAGCTGGTTTCTCCATTCTCACCTACCTAAGAGCAGTCACACTTTATGATCTGAACACAAATATAAAGCTGTGGAACACGGCACTGTACAGAGACAGAAGCCCCTATAGACAGTAACAAGGCAGTAAGACGTCTGTTGTCCATGCTCACTGGAATGATTCCTGCAAAGTGATGCATTGGATCAGCCTGGTTCCTCCAGACTGAGATCAAAGTCCAGAGCTGCTACAGAGACACACTGTTCAGTCTGCAGTGAGCCTTCCTCTCTCCTGGCCCTGCTGTCTCCTCCTCACCTCCTCCGCCAGATGTCCATCAGGGCAGCATGGCTGAATATAGACCATAGAAATTAAAACACTAAACTGGATTCCAGATCATTAATGCAAATGTTGAACAAATAAAGACTATGACAGCACTCCAATTTGAATTTGTAAGATTACCAGTCAATATAGAAGGCAATACTAAGAAATCAAATCTGTGCTGTCCTAGTCTTTCTCTTTTTTAATTGGGACGATACCAGCAAAGTTTTGTCCTCCTCTTCCCACCTTCTTACGAAATCCTAGTTTAGCTCTTTAACAACCATAACTCTCTGCAGTCAGGCCTGCCTAAATGCTGGCGGCCATTGTCGATCAATGGAGACGTTATCAATCATATTATATCAGCTGCTGAGTTGCTAAAGCGCGCACACTATTGAATCTGCTGTATTATTCATAGCACTGTTTTCACAATCACTCTGTGGCTGTTATAGAGCGACTCTCTTATCCACAATTGTTTTGTTACACTTTGATTTATCAACTATTCAATTTGTCTCGCTCTCGCTCTTTGTTGTTTTTCAGCCTGTCCACTTGGCCCAGAGCTATTTTCAAGTGGAAGCGTTTGGACACACCTTCACTCTGGACCTGGAGCTAAACCAGTTAGTATTACCATCCAAAAAAATCATCAGGTCTGCCTTTTTGCACACGCTTGTAACAGTAGGTGCTCCTAATCCACTGCAGCTGTACTCATTAGCAATTACCAGCACTTAAGCAAATGCACTTAGCCCTCTATTTTGCATGACAAGACGGGGAATACCAATGTGGCAAACACACACTGCTGCATCTTCATGAGCTTCCACTGATTTTTATTAACATCACATGTTAATATGTATTCTTTGTGAAATACATTTGAGGGGAGGTTGAGAATACTCATCATTTTGATAACCAATTTTGATGACATGGTGATTGAGATAATGCTGTTAAGGATGTTAATGGTGTCTCTTCTCTCTTTGTAGTCACCTCCTGTCTTCAGAATATGTGGAGCGGCACTTTAACCATGATGGCAGACCCTCACAGTCGATGGTAAGACTGATTGTGTGGGGTGGGGGTGTGTACTGACACGATTCTAGTGAGTTAACTTATCTTTTGGCACAAAGACTTCAGCATATTAATGATGTGACCAGAATGGCAGTGCAGCGTTCAGTTCTTTGGATGCAGAAACTGAGACTTTTCACATCTTGCTGTTGCCATGAATGTTAGAATGAAAGTAAAGTTTTGTTTGTCAGATGCAATGCCTCACCAGAGCTCATTATACAACACCATTTTACTTAAAAGGAAGTTCAAAGGCAATTATCATGGTAATAAAAACAGAAACGATAAAAGCCATATAACCAATACAAGAGAAGGGTGAATTTATATTTGATATGAAATATATATTTTAGGCTCATCTAACACAGATCTGTTTGGTTAAAGTCTCCATTTAGCAACAAAAGACATTTTGTTTTTATCTTTCGAGGATTTTGATGTGATGTTTTATTAAAGTTTGATCTCATCTTCTTGTTTTAACTATTTATAGAAAGAGCATTGTGTGCTCTCTGCTTCAAAGTACACTACCATGTAGCTGTTAAGATGATGTATGTTACCGTGCTGTACATACGTGGGTTTCTCCTGTCAGCGGAGTGCACGATGCCTCTCTGCTGTGGCCTTTCTCCGACAGCCAAGAAGAAAGGCAGCAGATGCCTGTGGTGTAAAATCCACGAGCTCAGAGAAAGAATTAGGAGATAACAGGAAACTGGATGAAAGCCTCGACATCTAATGTGATGTGCGCTTCTGAGCATAGACTAGAGGAATGTCACTGCATTCTGCTACCCAGGAGGGATGGCTCTTTTCTGTATAAATGTGTCACTCACTGCCCCCCTAGCAGTCAGCCCACCCACCCACCAGCACTACATGTCCCCACCCACAATCGTGCCAAACTCTCCCTCACTCCACCTGACCTATCACAAGCCTGTTTCCATAGCAACCAGTTAGCTCAGCAGTGTCATTAAGTACTTGGCGGTGAGGAGAATGGAAGAAGAGCGAGAGGGAGGGAAGAGCAGACCGGCGAGAGAAGAGAAGGAGGATATTGAGGTGTTAAATGCCATTGAATACAAAGGCAATATAAGTTTGGATAATTTTGGGGGTGTGTGTGCGGTCATAGATGATCAGTTTGTTCCCAGTTTTGCGGGAAGGAGGGGGAGGAGGCTTAAAATGTCCGGGATGGAGACCTGTGGTCAGGACAGATTGTCTCTCAGCTGGACGGTGGCCTCCCATCATGCCTCTGTGCTGCTGGACATCGCAGGTGTGATGCATTCAGGGCAGCACGTCACCGGACTGTTCTCAGTCGCCAAAATGCTTTTGTAGGGTTCCTACACAACATGGAAAACTAATGAATTGTATTCCAGTAATTTATAGTATTCAAAACCTTTATTTATCCAGATAGTACCTGATCATTATATAGAAAACACTACAGAGTACGGAAGGATGTTTGTGTTTCCAGACCTCTTTTTATTTTCTAAAATATAAAGTGTAGAATTCTTTGAAAAAAATGTAAATACAAGAAGTTTGTTTTTACTGGCATTGACTCCAGAATGGTAACAATGTATGAGAGGGTGCCGTGAAACACAACATTAATACACTTAAGTTCTCTTTTGAAATACCCTGATAAATAGTGAATAGATGAATCCCTTCTGTGTTATTGTCTGGAGTGAAAGTATACAGTTACAGGTACAAAAAACAATAATATTACACTGATGTACTTCTACAGCCTGAAATCCTGTGGGTTTCCGTTGATTGATTTATATCAGCAAATAAACAGACTCTTCAATCCTCTGGCAATTATTTGGCAACATAATAGCCTTCATAGTCAAAATGTAACTCTTGGATTTTAAAAACATTTTGTAACAATAAGCATCAAGCTTTTTTTTACTCAGATGTCAAATGTGGTCCTAAAATAAACAGAGAGGTCTGGAAGTGTGAGTCCGATGGGGAAATAAATTCAAATGGAAAACGTGTTGTTACCCCGGCTTTTGTTTCCATTTAAAGCAAGAGGCATTTTTGTTGTTGCCCGAGCTGTTGTGGCAAGGCTGAGACACCCTGCTGAACTCAATTTGGTCGTGGTGAACCAATGTTTCTCACTTTTCTCACCTTTCCTGGTGATTCATCTTGCTCACTGTGACCTCGTGAAGCGGTGCGCCCACTTCTGAGGAAATGTTAGCTGGAGGCAAAACGCTCTATTGTGGTTTTCAAGGTTACTAGGACAGGAAAGAGCAGAGCGCGATTTCCTTTTTTTTCTCTCACCCTGTGTTTTTCAGTTGCAACCTACCTACTAGTCATCCCATTTTAAATTCTCAGATCTAACTGTGTGGGCAACAAGATTGATGATTTATTGAAGAGATCCTTGTCAAGGATTTACCTCCACCTTTATTGGCAGTGAAGCAGAAAAGAGTGGGGTAGAGAAGAGGACACAAGTAGGTCAAAAACTGTGCCGTAAATGCACGAGTGTGGAAAGAAGGAGCGGGGAGTTACCTTTGCGGAGGTTTTCTACTCAGGGCTGACCTATTATAATATCCAATGAAGTATGAAAGTGAGCCTGAAGTGTGTCAGTAGAGGTTGTTTCTTGTGTCCACAGGGAGGAGAGCACTGCTACTACCAGGGAAGGTTACGAGGTTTACCCGAGTCCTGGGCAGCGCTCTCCACCTGCCACGGCCTGTGGTGAGCCCCACAGTAAACCTTTATTTATAAAATCACATTCGTTGTCCTGTTAAAAAACACATTTCCTATGAACTGTACTTAATTTACGAGTTGTCTGTCTCTTTCTGCTCTACATCTCACCACCCGTCTCTTGGTTCCTAGCGGCATGTTCTCTGATGGCTTCTTCTCTTACGGTATCGAGCCTGTTCAAAATGGAAGCAATCAGGTAAATAGGAGAGTGATATTAATACAATATTGAGATCTGGATGTTGAATTTTGAGGTACTAATGTGTGTAATGTCATCTGTATTGATTGTGTTATAGGAGGATGGTGCTCACTTAATCCGCAGGATGCCTGATATCAGACTTTCCCCTCACTGCACAGGTAAATTACTAAAACAAACTACTGACACTCGCATCACATCAGAATAATACTGCGTTAAAGTATTTTTTCTAATCTTCTCATCTTAATTAGATTTTAATATAACCGCAGTGCCTCAAGTTAGATTTCACTTCATTCCACTGTTGCAATCATTTCAAATGCACTGTTGCTTAATATTTCATAGGTACTGTTATGTCACTATACAAAAACACTCCAAAATGTTCCTATATACAAAAAGTAATTATTTTCTCATTGAGGTCAAAGAGAGGAATTCTTCACATCAGTGAAAGAGAAAAGTGAACAAAGGCGTAGGTTTTATGTACTGTAGGAATAACACGTTTTGAATACAAAGCCGTAGTCAATGGTCCTAATACCCCCATGTACAATTCAGCTTTTGGATTGGGATCTTTAAATCTTTGACTGACAATGTAGATACAAATATTTGCACTGTACCATACAGCATTATAAAAAGTAGTGTTGCTCTGAGTGCCTGGAGCTTCTCTGTGTGTCCAGACTGTACAGAGGACAGTGAGTGGGATAGCAGAGGAGGTGATGGTGATCACGACAGACCGGACCAAACCACAGAAGAGCAGGTGTCAGGGGGGCTGAGGCGATCCAAGAGATCTGTCCGCAAACCCTCTGTCCAGACTGAGACCAAATATATTGAGTTGATGGTGGTCAACGACAACGAAATGGTTAGTAAAAAAGTACTCTTTCCGGTTAAGATTGTTTAGACGTCAGACATCTGCACTGGTGGTCTTTGTCGTACAGAGAAATTTGAATTGTCTGAGTCAATGAGGCTGTTTAACAGGACCTAGATCTAAAGGGAGATCTGGAGACAAATGAAAATGAAAGCTACATTTTGGCTGCCGGAGACATTGGATGGATGTATAAATGTATGATTGGATGAATTTACGGATATATGGATGGATTGGATCAGTTATATATTTGTTTGTCTGTATTCCTTTTGTGTGTGAGAGATAGAAGGAGATCTCTCACACCATCTGTGTATCTCTGTGTCTCCACAGTTTGTACAGCTGCGTCACTCCAGCAGCCAAACCAAGAACTTTGCCAAAGCAGTGGTCAACATGGCAGATGCGGGTAAGAGCTTTGTTTAACAGTCCTCCTTCTCTTAAACTCCGCTTGCTCGGCACACAGCCACCTGTCAGGGACTGTGTGTTTATTTCCAATAATTCATGCCAGATAGCACACAGAGTGTTGACAGCACAGGTGTCGCACCAACAAAGCAGGAAAGTGATGGCGGTTTTCCGTCCTCAGATCTACAAGGAACAGTTGAACACGCGGATCGTGCTGGTTGCCATGGAGACCTGGACCTCTAAAAATATGATGCCAGTATTGGAAGATCCTTTGATAACGCTGCAGAACTTCATGAGATACAGGAAAGACAACATCAAAGATCAGAGTGACCTCGTCCAACTTTTCTCGTAAGGCAATTTAAATATCTGGAGATTTAAGGCTTGGATGATTTTTGGGTGCTTGATACGTTTGATTCTAAACGATGGTATCTTTTTTTTCCGCCTCAGAGGGCGTACATTTCACAGTAGCCGCAGTGGGACGGCCTACACCGGGGGGGTGTGCTCTCTAACAAGAGGAGGGGGCATCAACGAGGTGAGGGAAAGCTACAAATATATCTATTTTCCTTTGTATATTAGAACATGAGGTTTATCTGAATCTAAGATTGAAAAGGTTTTTTCTTTTGAACCAGTCGAGTTCAGAGGTAGAATTGTTGGTAAAGTCTGTTTCCACATTGCCAGGTTTAAATCAAGAGATGAAGAAATGTTTGCATTTTACATATTATAGGTTTCAAATTAGTTTGTTAGCTAATCTTGATATAAAGAAATAGTTTGACATTGTGGGAAATATGCTATTTAAGAAGAAGATTTATAAGAGATGATTGCTTCTGATCCCTCTCGTGTTTAAGTAAAACATTTATCTTGAACCAGCAGTACGTTAGTTCAGCATCAATAATGGAAAAAACTGAAAACTGCTAGCTTGCTATGTGTTGTGATATTGATCTTCTCTTGCTAAAATCTTCCTCTAATCCTGATTTGCAGAACATCATGTTGGTCAAAGCCTAGCTCCTTAAGCGTTTTATATCAGTGTTGTCTCCATCTCACAATAAAGCTCTCCTGTGTGTGGACTCTCTGTGTGATTGTTGCAGTATGGGAATGTAGGGGCGATGGCCATCACTTTGTGCCAGAGTCTCGGCCAGAACATCGGCATGAGGTGGAACAACATGCGCAACTCTGCAGGTAAACGATAACAGTGAATGTGGATGGGGGAGGATAGAGACATCTATAAACTAATGGTAGAACTGAATTAATTATCAAAGCAAGAGAGTAGGATCAGTGGGGGAAGGATGGAGGCAGGGAGGGAGAGCATTGTGGGTAACCTTGTCCAGCAGGTCTCGTCTGTAATTAGACTTTTCCATTCGGTGATTAGTCACCTGCCTCCAAGAAGGCGGGGGTGGGGGTTAGAGCCTCGCTGCAACTGAACAATGTGCTCTGTGATTAATGTTGAAGAGCCATCAGGTCCATTATTCAATGCCAGGAGCGCACACTATAGGCTCTCCATTTATCTTCCAATAGACATCAGTTCTATTCCTTTCAGATCATACATCTTCCTCATGAGCTGCAGCATGTGAAGTGTCACAGCTCGGATGTTAAATGCTGATCTACGTTATTTATTTTACATTATTTATTGAAGTTTCTGTGCTCTTCTTCCTCCTGGTGTTCCTCACAGGAGACTGCAGGTGTCCAGACGCCTGGCTGGGCTGCATCATGGAGGACACGGGGTAAATATCCTCATTATAGCACACTGAACTAAACAAAAACAAAACATCAATCTCTTCTCTGTTTGTTGACACAATTAAACAGCAGGACTGTTTCTTTTCGCATTCACCCTAAGCTGTGATTTGTTCCGTTAATTTCACTCAATTATAGAATTAAACACCTGTAGCAGAGGGATGCTTTGACTTGTACTCTGTCTTCAATGAGCCATGCCTGTGATAATCACAGCTTGGATTTCATGCAACAGGAACATGTGTTGATATATCAAACATCAGCATGCTAACCAAGAATTACATATTGAATTTGTATTTACTACACAGTATGCATGATTTAGATGTGTCTGCTGACCAGATGGTGCAATACAGATTTGAATTATTCATTTGTATAATATCCTACTACAGATCATGCAATTACTGTCCGATTGCAAAGTGATGGGACATTTCTGCCACGTCCTGGTCTCAATCTCTTTCTGTGTGTGTGTGTGTGTGTGTGTGTGTGTGTGTGTGTGTGTGTGTGTGTGTGTGTGTGTGTGTGTGTGTGTGTGTGTGTGTGTGTGTGTGTGTGTGTGTGTGTGTGTGTGTGTGTGTGTGTGTGTGTGTGTGTGTGTGTGTGTGTGTGTGTGTGTGTGTGTGTGTGTGTGTGTGTGTGTGTGTGTGTGTGTGTGTGTGTGTGTGTGTGTGTGTGTGTGTGTGTGTGTGTGTGTGTGTGGTGTGTGTGTGTGTGTGTGTGTGTGTGTGTGTGTGTGTGTGTGTGTGTGTGTGTGTGTGTGTGTGTGTGTGTGTGTGTGTGTGTGTGTGTGTGTGTGTGTGTGTGTGTGTGTGTGTGTGTGTGTGTGTGTGTGTGTGTGTGTGTGTGTGTGTGTGTGTGTGTGTGTGTGTGTGTGTGTGTGTGTGTGTGTGTGTGTACACACAGATACTATCTTCCCAGAAAGTTCTCTCGCTGCAGTGTTGATGAGTACAGCCAGTTCCTGCTCCAGGGGGGCGGGAGCTGCCTCTTCAACAAGCCAAACAAGGTGAGGGGCATGATGGGATGTGGTGAGAGGAGCAGCCTCTCTGCATAACATTTTTATACTAATTAATTTTCTGACATTCTCCCTCCGACTGCCCTTTTTCCAAAACACACTCAACTATGTAAATCTGCTTGTAATATTTGATGACTAATATTTATTTGTACTGTTATTGCTTTCTGTTTTGTATTACCATGTAAAGTGTCTCTTATTATTCTAATTTTAATAATACGGACTATTATATTTAATTTTGTATTATTATTATATTTATAATTATTATAATTAGTGTTATTATTATTTTTCTTGTGGTCTCATTTCCATTGGAAACACATATTTGAATTTCTTTCCTTCTTCTTTACAGTAATTCATATTAGTATCTCTGCTCATCTCCTATACAACTGACACATTTCCTCTCTTGTCCATCTGACTCCCACTTATATAAATAAGTGCTGATATATGTCCCTGTCTGTCTCCATCAGCTGTTGGACCCTCCAGAGTGTGGGAATGGCTTCGTGGAGCCGGGGGAAGAGTGTGATTGTGGATCCCAGGTGGTGAGTACCCAGTCGGACACCGTGCCAGCTCTTACTGTAAGCTGTTTTCTGGAAATGAGCTGAAGGTTTGTTTTCCATCTGTGGCTGCAGGAGTGCGCCCGTAGCGGAGGAGCCTGCTGTAAAAAGTGCACACTTACCCATGATGCCATGTGCAGTAACGGACTCTGCTGCAGCGGCTGCAAGGTGAGCCCACTTACAGTATATGACAGGGGATCAAAAACGGGAACCAGATGTAAATTGATAGGTGACAAATGAAAGGAAAAACCAACATAAAGTGTCTTAGTTTAGAGTCGGGCAAGCCTCGAGAATAGCTGCAGTGCATCTTGTTCAAGTCTGTGGGACTTTATGGGAGGGATAAACACCAGTCCTCCTCCACCACATGTTCCCTCATTTATATAGACCAACTTCATTTGATCAGGTAATTGAGATCAAGATCAAAGTACAGCAGAAATCAAACTTCGCCAGGCATGGGAAAAGGACATAAAGTATCAGAGACAATCATAGTTTAATAGGATACAATTAAGAATAGTTGTTCTATTATAAAAACTATGGTTTTGGAGATGTCTTTCATGATGGTCTAACTGTGAAACTGGGTTGTGATCTGGCCACTTCAACGGACAAAGCATTTGTATTCACATCATTGTTATACTCACCAATTATTCAGTGAGCCCTGGCACATGGAGGTATCTGTATCTCATTTGCTACTCTGCTCTTTTATTGCCTCCACTTAAAATAGTCAAATGTGTTGTGCATGCTGTAATTTCTGTTGGACCACATTTAGAAACCAGGCATCCTGTCAACTACTTAAAAGTTAAACTGGAATAAAAGGCAAACATAATGGAAATGTTTAATGAATATTTCATATCCAGCATTTCCCTGATTCCTTTTCATGCTGTGACATAGTATGAGCAGAGAGGCGTGGTGTGTCGAGAGGCTGTGAACGACTGTGATATCCCAGAGACCTGCACCGGAGACTCCAGCCAGGTACAGATTACTGTTATGTAATACCAGTGGGGGGGGCAGAACTACAAGATTAACAATAGTATTCAGAACATGAAGTACTTCTCTTCTCTTGCAGTGTCCTCACAATGTGCACAAGCTGGATGGCTACATATGTGATACGAGTCAGGTAAAGGCAGGTTTGTTTTCTAGTCTGCTGCTCACTCTGAGTTATGATGTATTCTTGATTGTTGTTACCTCATTTCTTCAGGGCCGCTGTTACGGAGGACGATGTAGGACTCGTGATGGACAGTGTAGGGGCCTCTGGGGTTATAGTAAGTATAGAGCACAAGAAGATTATAGTTGTAAAGGTTTTTTTTTTTATCTATGGCTTTGTAGTCTTATTCTCCTTTTCTTTTTCCTCCCAGATTCAGCAGACAGGTTTTGTTATGAGAAGCTGAACGCTGAGGGGACAGAGAAAGGAAACTGTGGTCCGGGTCCTGAGGGCCAGGGCTGGCTGCAGTGCAACAAGCCGTGAGTCTGCTGATCATTTCATAGAAGAATAAGATGTTGTTGTTTTTGCAAAAACGGTGCTGCCTCAGCGGCATTTTGTGCAGTTTTTACCAAATGGTAAAGCTAATTCCATGAAAAGACCAAAACTGCTGTTAGCTGATTAATGACCTACAATTAAACAAATACAAAATGTATGTATTACATACACCTGGAGGATAATTAGTAAACTGCCTAGATAAAGCCAGACATCTAGGTGTAGTCATGGACTCTGACCTGAGTTTCAACAGTCACATTAAAACAGTTACTAAATCAGCCTACTATCACCTAAAGAATATATCTAGGATTAAAAGACTAATGTCACAGCAGGATTTGGAAAAACTTGTCCATGCTTTTATCTTCAGTAGACTTGACTACTGCAATGGTGTCTTCACAGGTCTCACTAAAAAAATCTATTAGGAAGCTGCAGCTGATTCAGAACGCCGCTGCTCGAGTCCTCACTAACACTAAGAAAGTGGATCACATCACTCCTGTTCTGAAGTCTTTACACTGGCTTCCTGTGTGTCAAAGAATAGATTTCAAAATACTGCTGCTGGTTTATAAAGCACTGAATGGTTTAGGCCCAAAATACATTTCTGACCTCCTGCTAAATTATGAACCATCCAGATCTCTCAGGTCTTCAGGGACTGGTCAGCTTTCTGTCCCCAGAGTCAGAACTAAACATGGAGAAGCTGCGTTCAGTTATTATGCTCCAAATATCTGGAACAAACTCCCAGAAACCTGCAGGTCCGCTGCAACTCTGACTACTTTTAAATCCAGGCTGAAGACTTTTCTTTTTGTCGCTGCTTTTAATTGAAACTGAGCCGTTGTGTTCATCAGTAAAGTGGAACTTCTGTGTGAACTATTCATATCTTAAACTGCACTGTAACTTTTTATTCATGTACTTTTTATTCATGTTTTTTTTCTTTTAATGTTTCTTTTATTATCTTTTACTGTTTTTAAATGCCTTTGTCTGAATGTCTTTCATTTTTGTAAAGCACCTTGAATTGCCTTGTGTTGAAAGGTGCTACATTATATAAATAAACTTGCCTTGCCTTGCCTGAAACTATGTTGCAACAAATCCTTTGTAATAACTCAGTCACCAAAATAAGCTCCATGTGTTAGCTCTAGTTCTACTTGAAGCTTTTTTTTTTATTCAAGTTGAATTCTGTGAACAAAGCCCCCATTGTTCTCTGACATCACTCCTCCTGTGTAGGGATGTTTTATGCGGCTTCCTGTTCTGTGCCAACGTCACCATGAAGCCAAAGTTTGGAGACCTGCAGGGGGAGGTGACCAGCTTCACCCTCTACCACCAGAACAAGTACTTGGACTGCAGGTCAGTGGGTCACATATATCTGATGTGTAGTTCTCCTCCTGCTCTCCTACCTGTCTCACATGTGTGATGCTCCCCTCAGAGCAGGCCATGCTCTGCTGGAGGACGGCTCCGACCTGGGCTATGTGGAGGACGGCGCCCCCTGCGGGCCCAACATGATGTGTCTGGAGCGACGCTGCCTCCCTGTGGCCACGTTCAACCTCAGCACCTGCTCGGGATCTACCTTTGGGCGCATCTGCTCCGACCACGGGGTAAACAATAGTCCTGAGCTCACAACTCAACATTTACAGTCATACAAGTTACATACACCATTAAGGAATACCTGTGCATCTAAAACAACAGCCGTGTCATATTTATGAAGCTCATTTTGGTGACAATTAGGGGAACATATATCTACAGTATTTGTATTAAAGTGGTCATAGTTTAGTTTATTCATTTCATTTTCTATTTAAAATTTAAATTCACATATAAACCATTCATAAAAAGAATATGAGCCATTTCCAAGTTAGGACAAACCAAAGCATATGTATGTATACACTGAAATTAAGAACAAAAATAAATAAAATATAAGTAGATTATTTATACTCAAAGCTCCCAAGTTCCACCAAGAATATAATGTCTCAACCTTATACTTAATTAGATGCATTCATAATCTATTGCTTATCATTTTCAAAGCATAACTATGACAAATAGTAATACAAAAATAACATAGATCCACCCAAAGACAAAAAACAACCTTAACCCATAAGAACCCGGACCCATTTCTACTTTTGGGGAAATTAAGGGGAACATAATTTAGACTAAATAGACCACCTAGAACACATTTCTGACAAGTAACCCCCCCCTAGTGTCAAATATCTGAAAAGTGACATATATGTCAAATTGGGCTTTAATGGTAAAGTAACTGTTATTTATAACTTAATTAAGGAGGAAGATTTTTTGGTTTAAATTAGTTTGAACATTCTTTGAATTGAAGAATAAAGAATATATTAACTCAATATAATTGAATCAGCTAAATTAACTGAGCAGATCATAATATTTCTAATTGTACATATATGTCCCTCCGGGTTTACTGTGAATGTTTAGGGTTAAAGTCCCGATGTGACATCAGTGTCACAGCGATGTTTGTTTCATATCAATTTGATGAAGAAATGTTTCCAAAACAGGTTAAATGTAATAAAGGACATGTTATGTAAGCATTTTAATTCTTAAATGGCTTGAATTGTACCTTTAGCAACAAAAAACAAGCTTCTGAAATGTAGCTAGTTCTGGCACATGGACATCTTGGACAAGTTGTCATGGGAACACAAAATCAAATGTCCTGGACCATGACCCACCAAACTGTTCAGTGCGTGTCACTTAGGGACTTCATGAGATAAAATAAAGGCTAAAGTTGTCTAAGGAACTTTCCAGAACATTTAAAGGTCATGTGACACCTGTGTCACGGTGGGTCCTTATGGGTTACAACAGTTTGGCTAGTTCACGTAGGAAAGAGTGACATATTTGGACCAGAGTGACGCATTTCACCGACTTCATACTAACTAGCTACAATGTGTTTTAAACATTGATGTAGTTTAAACATCTTTCTCTTCTTAGCAGCTATTATTGAACACTACACTAATCTCTCCTTCTCTCTCTCCTCTCTCTGTAGACCTGCAGTAATGAAGTGAAGTGTATCTGTGACAGGGACTACACAGGCAAGGACTGCAGTGTCTTCGACCCCATCCCAGAGCCAACCGTCCCAACAGGCCCAGAGAAGAAAGGTCCATACCCCTCCCCACCTGCCCATGTCTCTCTTTCTGTCTGCCTCTCATACCCCCTCATAGTCTCTACCCATCATCCCTGTAGCTTCTCTATGTACTGAGCAGAGCACAGTATCTCATCCTTTTCAACACACAGAGTAGTTCTGCTGATGGTTGTAAGTCAAAGGGGATACTTTGGATTGTTTAAAGGGGGTCTTATGATGCTCTCATCCATAGTCAGTGTGTGATCTACAGTAGATGGTGGTTGCACGGGCACAGGAGCAAATAAACGTGCTGCTGAAGATGCAGCAAAAGTTATTGTAGCAACCTAAAAGAAAGGCCAGCTCTATGTCTGTTTGAATATGTTCACCACTTCTCCTTGCTGTCAGACAGTTTTTATTCAACATAGAACTGAAGCCGTTATATTCATCAACGCTTTCTCAAAAGCCACCAGACCTTATTGACAGAAACAGCACTTCAACCTTGCAGAACAAGACTGCCTCGATCATTTACTCAGCTTGTGTTAATGCGTGACTTTAGCTAATCCGAAATAATAAAAGTCACAAAATAAGACGAAAAAGGGAGTAGCTGTTCTACAAGTTGAAAGGACTGTTTTTGTCAATATAGTCTGGTGGCTTTGACAAGAGCATAGATAACAGCAGTGATAGAAAGTAAGTTAATGTACTTTTTGCAATTTTGACCAATGTGCATAAAGATTACATACATTTTGATTGTAATACTTTCATTCTTTTTTTGAAAAACAAAAACGTTACTTGGAAATCGACTTGTAATCAAGTATTTTAACACCATAGTATCTGTACTTTTACTTACTAAATAATCTGAGTACTTCTTCCATCACTGGATAACAGCTTCAGTTTCCCTCAGGCTGTCCGACAGCAAGGTTAATCAAACCTGCCTAACACAGACAACACTGATTTATTTAGGTGGGCTGTTTTTCATTTGCTGCTGCCCCCCTCCACAGCAGTACATTGCTTAGCTTCTCTGCCTCTGTATAATGACATTAAACAATTCTATTCTATATTCTATTCTCTACTCCTGTCTGCTTCTCAAAACTGGGACCCGCCTACCATCATCTCAATGCCTATTGATAAGTCCCTCATTCATTCCCACTTCAAACTATCTAAACTCTCCCTTTAACATCACTTTTTTAGACCACAGTGTTTTCCCTTCTGCCGCGTCTTGGTTTCAATGTTGGGAGAGAGTGGGTGTGTGTGGTGTGTGTGTGTGTGTGTGTGTGTGTGTGTGTGTGTGTGTGTGTGTGTGTGTGTGTGTGTGTGTGTGTGTGTGTGTGTGTGTGTGTGTGTGTGTGTGTGTGTGTGTGTGTGTGTGTGTGTGTGTGTGTGTGTGTGTGTGTGTGTGTGTGTGTGTGTGTGTGTGTGTGTGTGTGTGTGTGTGTGTGTGTGTGTGTGTGTGTGTGTGTGTGTGTGTGTGTGTGTGTGTGTGTGTGTGTGTGTGTGTGTGTGTGTGTGTGTGTGTGTGTGTGTGTGTGTGTGTGTGTGTGTGTGTGTGTGTGTGTGTGTGTGTGTGTGTGTGTGTGTGTGTGTGTGTGTGTGTGTGTGTGTATCTTGCAGGCACAGTGCCATCTTTAAGTGTCTTCCTTACTTTCTCGCAGTCTGCCCTTGACACAGAGCAATAGAGCAGCAGCTCATAGGGCCTTAAAGCACCAGAGGGTGTCCAGCTGAGAGAGCAGGAGAGGGGGAATAAACACAAAGTAATAAAACTCTCTCTCCTTTGTTTTGTTACTGTTGTCTCCCTGACCTCCCTCACTCACCTCCCCGTTCTCCCACCTCCACCCAATGTGCTGGTATCCTCCTCTCCTCCATCTCTCTTTCTCTGTCTGCAGGTATCCCACCATCTGCATTTCTCTCTCTCTCTCTCTAGTTGTCGTTGTTGATGTACAGTGTTGATGCTGTCCTCTAACGTGTGTTTTTTAGTGGTGTTATTTTGTTTCTGCCCCTCCTCTTCCGCACTCTTCCTCCCTACTCCTTCCTCTGTGCAGGTCCCAGTGGCACCAATATCATAATAGGGTCCATCGCAGGGGCTATTCTCCTGGCAGCTATAGTCCTAGGGGGGACAGGATGGGGATTTAAGTAAGAGTTCTGGCATGCCTTTGTGTACCTGTCTGCTTCTACCTAAAGGACCCCCGCTCCTCCCACTCTCACTCAGAACCACTAGATGCCCGTTTGCAACTCATCGTCCAAAAGGGAGTCAGAGCTTGTCTGTTCTAATGCTGCTTTTAGCGCCAAATTCCTTACGCAACGTCACACCGTTTTCCTTGTTTTGATCAAACCATTAATGAACCCTGAGGAACACCATGCACCTCTCCGTCCCTTTTAGTGTAAGGGCAGGACAGAGACATTGATCTGCCAGAGACCGCTGCAGAGCTTCTCTTGGATCCACTAGATTTATTATCCTTTTATGAAAACATTTAATTAAATAGGCTTTTTCTGAAATATGTGTTTAACCGCTGGTGCTCCCTTAGCCCGCAATACCCAGTTGTTCTCCTACAGGCTGCATCCTAACCCCTAATGCGCTCATTTTGCTCTGTTCTACCTCTGCATGTTGCTCTGGTTCAATCCTTACACTTTGATCTAAAAGGACTGCTCTTAGATTCATAAGATAATCGAGGCTGATGAAAAGCCTTGTTATTTGAAGACAACATGTTTATAACTGATGGCATGCAGCCAGTCCTTTTAGGGCCAGAGGTAAGAGTCTGTGCATGTGAGAAGCTGTACGAAGTTATCCGAATGAGACACCCTTCAGCCAAGGGTCAGTCCAATGACTCCTGTACATGCTGCATGTGATGCCATCATTATAATCTGGCAAAACATGTTTTGGAGAGGACTGGAAGATGAATAATGGACTGAAGGAATTACTGTGTGTAGTTTTGTTAAATCTTATAAGGGAAATCAAATATTCATTCAGATTTGATATGACAATTGAAGTGGCAATATACCAGTTATTTTGTTTGCTTTAACTTAACATTGTTGACAGGGTAATGTTTATGGGATAAAATAACATCTGCCTTTTGAATGATTTGGTTTCTTACTGCAGAACTAAAGCTTGATTGAAGCCACAAAGGAAGCCTGCTTGTTTGTTTGATTCCATGCAATTTGAATGATCATCTTCGTTACATGCTTCTTAAAAAGGTAATTACTTGTGAGTTTCTCATAATTTCCTTTTGATATTGACATGTCTTTGTTCTTGTCTTTTCTCTTGACGTGTCTTCACTGGATGCAGGAACATCCGGAGAGGAAGGTATAACCTGCACAATCTTCTGATATTCTGTTCATGGAGCAGCATCACAAAACATCCCAAAACCCCTCACCATGGATCCTTACTCCCTCAGTCACCCTCTCAAGTTCTTCCCTTGGTTTGTCCCCACAGTGCCTCATGCGTCCTGTTCATCCCACTGCTCCTTCTGCTTTCACCCCATTCCAATTCTTGCTTAAAAAACTCCCCATTCCTGTCCCTTATCCCATAATATTCCCTTTATCATTGCAAGGCAGAATAGCATTTCCCATTTCTAAATCAACTTCCTCTCCTGTCGCCTACACAGTTTGTTTTTCTTTCTCTTACCTGTCTCCGTTTTCCCTTCTCTTTCAGATCTGGCGGTGGATAAGATGTGTCTGTCTCTCTGTCTGTCTGTCCTGTCTACTCCTGTCTTCCTCCTCGCACTGTGTCCTTTCCACATCAGAGAAGAGGGAAACAAAAAAAAAGTCTTCCACATCTCAAATTTCTCCAAACCTCTACTGAATACCGTCTCCTCCTATCGTCCGTCCTCCATCCGGGCCCTGCGGAGCTCCATTCACCAAACCAGCCAAGTCAGACTTGTTGTGGCTGTTTCCATCGTCGCCACCGAGGACTGTGTGTGGGCCCGAGCAGGGGGTCCGTCCCCTGAGAGACACCGGGGTCTTCCTCCAGTCTGGTGGAGTGTGATTCGGTGTCTGTGCACCTCCTTTTGAACAGTCTGGTGAAGATCATATCGACGTCCAATTCTATATCAGACTTGTCTTGCCTGCCTGTCTGGATACAAATTAATCTGGCCACCAACTGAGTCCACAGCTAAATGTTGGACAGACTGGACTTCTAATAGACTAAACTAATGTAAAAGGAGCTGAATGCTTTCTTTTGAAAATGACCCAAGGCACAGTTCCTCAAAGGACAGGCCCTCAAAGTGGACAATAGTCTGTTTCAATCCACAAGTCTGGCACCATGAATTTGAAAAGAAAACACTGGACTGATGTGGAAGGGCTCAACCGAAGGCTCAAAAACCAGTCAGTCACTAGCCAGATCCCAGACTGATAACCGAGTTTATGTTCGTCGTTATTTGTTCTTTAAACTTGAGGCATCTTACCTGCCCCCTTACACAAGTGTTCAGGTACAAAAAGGGAAGCAAGGTGTCATGGTTTTGGGATCATTTTTAAAAACAACTGAACTTCAGCAGAGACCGTAACTTAGTGCTTTCCAGCCGACATACATTCCACTTTATCTGTCTGTGTGCTCACCACTTTCTGACCCAAAGTGTGTACCCTCTCCCAGGTCGGATCTGTATGTCTGTTCACAGATGAATGTACGCATGTAAGAGATTTTTTTTTAAAGAAAGTAAGAATGTATGTGTGTTTACATTAGTGCTAGGGGCCATTTGTGTCCATGTACACTTTAACACTCCTCCTATCACAGTAGATTGGCAGGTTTTGAACCTTAGAATATCATCTCTTTCTACAAACGGCAGCCATGGAACCATAAAGGCAGCACATTAATACAGAATGAAACTGTTTTTATTTAATGTATCTACAGAAAAGGAGCACTAGCCAACTGTATGCACACTTATTTGTAAATATGTGCAAGAATGACTGAATGCACTGTATGAAGATGTATTTAAAAGCTATGTTAAAATAATGAGTTGTATTCTGACAAGACATCTGCAGATCTCTCCAATATTCAACACTGTCCATGAATCTCTCACTCTTATCATTCCAGCTGTCCCTTAGATGTCCAGGATATTTTGTACGTTTGTTGATAGCCCTGAGCCCTGGGTGAACAGCTCCACCAAGAGGCTTTGTAATGATGCCGCTGTAAATGAGATTAAAGAGATCTAGTGGGGGGGTCCAGGAGGCAGCTCGTCTGAAACTGTACGTAGGTCAGTTTGGTTCATTTGAGCTTTGCACTATGGCAGCTGCACTATTGTAATTAGAAAATGTACAGCGGTATGAAATACAATCCGTTTGATTTAAAAGGTAAATTAAAAAAAGAGAATAAGATCAATCGTATCCCATATTTTTAGACACAATCTTTTCGAATTGAGACAAAAAGAGAGAAATTAACTAAAAGATTGTAGTTGATTTGACAATGAAGGAAAATAAAATACTGAAACATTTAAAACACACCTTCATCTCTGGCTACCTTGCTTTTTTTTTGGTATTTATAGTTCATGATTTTAATAAATGATTATACTTTTTCAATGCTTTGGTTTTCTGCTTCTGAAAGTTCATAATTGTGATATATAATGATTATATATTATAGTGGGTATAAAGAAAACAAGGGTGCAAAGGTTTAAATGAAACATTCATAATTTGACTTAAATTATGTACAATTTGAAGATCATCCATCTATATTTGACTGACGATTATTTGTATTATTAATTCATGTAAAATCAATTAACTGCAAAAATCACTGTTAGTTTCTCAGAGTCCAAACTGGCGTCTTTGATTTGTTCATTTGTCTTTAATCCGGCTAAATAGATAAAACCGGTACAATTTACAAAATAAAAATGAGAAAAAGCATCAAGACCTGACATTTGTGAACGTGGAACAGGCATCTGACTATTTTCAACCAGTCTAAACCAATCAAATGTAGGGAGATGGTGCGCCTTATACTTTTCTGATAATCTAATGGAATATTAAGTAACAAAAAAGGTATATTAAAATATTACTTTATTTATAAGCAAATTATTACAACAAAAACCCAGTTGAGGAATGAGAAATTGTTATTTAAAAGCAAAATCACTTTCCTTAAATCACCACACAGAGGCATTCAGCTTTCATTAAATAAAAACTGCATAAAAGTCATTGACAGGTATTGGCATAGAGGCCAATTATTAATAAAACAATAACAGTTTAAAAAGGCTGATGGCAGCCCAGACACAATATGTCAATCTGATTCCTGATCAACATGATGGATATATTTGTCGTTTTATTCTTCAGCTGGATGAAAGTACACAGCCTAGTTGTGCTTTTTCTGCTAAATACTGTTGTGCATGTCAGTGTCTGTGTGCATGGAGATCAGCATTCTTTGGTTTGTCGCCATTAAAGGTGGAATAGAGCCAGATGAAGAAGCGTTCTGCACAGGAAGCCAGGTCAGTCTGAAACCTCTCCTGCGTCCCACTTAGTTTTGGGTTCTTGCCACCAGTCAGCCAGGAAGGCCTCCTCGTAGTCTCCCATCCCCTCGAACTCAGCGTCAGATTGCGGCGTGTGAGGGGAGGCCGTTTCTTCTGGACTCACCTCGTCCTTAAAAAGATAACACACAGTACTCACAGTCAACAGCAATCATCTTACATTCTTTCATTTGATCTAGCAAAAACCTACTTTTTCCTTTTCATGTCTGTAAATCTGTCACTTGTGCACCCTGTAATTCAGTTTAAACTCTCTGCGTCCTCCCCCCCAGCCTCAGGTCCAGGCAGGGTGGGAGGGGCTGACGGAGATAAATGGATGTGGCACAGCCTCAGTGGCCAACACCTCTCAGCTACATACCACACGCTGCTGGCGGAAAGCGCAGCCCCCCTCCTGCTTTCTCTTCCTATCTCTTTCATCCTCTTAGACTTTTTTGTCCTGCTTCCATTTCCATAACCTCAACAGCAGCTTGCATTTAGTCTGCTAGTTAAATCCTGCATAGTAAACGTTTACATCCCCAAAAATATTTTAGGGGCTTCTTGGTGATTTCTCTTTCCTGTAGTATGTGCTATGGTTTGTGTTCATGTAAAGGGTCTGCAAAGGCTAAAATCCCTCCAGAGAGTTTCACTCCCACACACTCCCCCCCCCCCTGTCTGAAACGCCTCCATTTGACTCCTTGGTTTACTCATGTAACATGGTGACATCACTATGCAACAGTCGCTCTTCTATTGGCTATTGCTCCAACACATTGAACGTGAAAGGCTAAGGTGTGGGACATTGGCCAATCACAACAGAGCCGGCCAGCTAACCAATCAGAGCAGACTGGGCTCTGGTTTCAGACAGAGGGTGAAAAGAGGTGATGCAGCACGAAAAATAAAGAGCCTTTTGAACTTTAAAGCATGGAAACTTAGACACACAGTAGAGGCAGAAATCCAATAAATCTGAAAATAAGCATGATAGGGCCTCTTTAAATGATTTAATAAACAAAAGAAAAGCCCAAACTCACACAACAACATCCACTTTAGTTATTGTTGAGACAAGTTCAAGTGTCAGTTCACATTCGGATACATTAGCACCCTTCAGGTTGTCTAGTCATGCAGACAGTTTTATCTGCTGAGGTTTAGAGATGTCTGACTCTAGCCGCCACTCTAGCACAATAGAGGTTGATGGAATTGTGTTTGTGCAGTTAAAAAAATAATCTCTGGAATGGACATCTGAAAACGTCATCAGATCAAATCATACTGAGATACCACTACTTGGGGTAAGTCATTTTACACGTCTTGTTTAGGTGAAATGGTCCTTTAATCTTTCATTTGTCAGATGATATATTAATAAGGATTCTGTAACATATTGTGAATGTATAGAAAAATGTATACATAGATGTATGATTTTTTTCAGCTACAGTCTGGTATGACAATTAGCTTATGGTTGCTAATGTTAGCAGACATAAGGTATAGATATATTACAGCTACTGCTACACTGATTAAGCATTTAACATTATTTTTTACAATTGTCACTTATGTATGCAGTGGTGCCGTTTTAACAAAAGTTACAAAGGCTTGCTTTACAGACATTTTCATGGGATAACTCAATTATAATATCCAGACATTAAGCAAGTTATCTGAGCTAACATTATCACTCTGCTGCCCATTAGAAACATACCTCATCGTCAGTCTGTAGGTAGTTCAGTGCAAACTCCAGCATCTCTTTCTGCTTGGTTGTCTCATTAAAGAACTTCAGGGCCTCCTGAAAAACAAAAAGAACATCAGCAGAAGGCACAAACAAGCCAAAGCCTGTTTTATTTCACGCCGCTAAGAAAAACAAATTTGGCCTGGTGTCCTTTTGTTTACTGCCTCTCGCTGTGGAAGCCTTAAAGTATTTACAACAGGGCCAAATTTGATTGAGGCTGGGGCCGCTTCAGAAGAAAAACAGCTAGTACACTGCAGCTGTTGACAACTCTGCAACAAGCTGAAAAAATATAGGAAGCAAGTGTTTTTACAGGAAAACATGGCTTTCTAATGACCACCCTGAGATCGTGTTAATCTTAACGCCAAGACCGCTTTATGCTATAGTTTTCCTTCTTCGGTTAAGAACAGCCTGTGTTAAATGTGCTAACACTTTCTGCTGCCTCTGGTTCACCCAGAAGAGTAATAAGGTCTTTGTTTCACTCACTGGCCGAGGCAGGAAGTCGTCTTCCTCGAGTCCCCACTGCTCCCGGTAGAAGCGATAGTACACTACATTTTGTTGCATCACCTGGTCATTACGGTCGAACAGCATGTAACTGGCTGCACACGGAGCAGCGTTCTTTACATCATTCACTGAAAAGGACCACAAAATAATATGTGTTAAAAAACAATCCTACACATACTGCTGTCAAAAGCCTGAATCCAGAGTCATAGTTCTTACATTTATAATAGGAGAACTGGAGGTAGTGATACATGGTGGCGACAAACTTCTCCACAAAGAAGCCTCCAACGTTGGGCTTCAGGTGCTCTTCACATTTTACCTTACATTTCAGCACATCAGTGTAAAGATCTGGGGAAAAAACAAGCATATTATTTAGAATCTAAAACACTCTGAACAGAAACAGCTTTTAAATTACCTTCTTCTTACATGGACACACTTCAGATAAAAAATATGTACACATTTCAACTGATAGATATCACTATGAAACCTCCCCAGATGATAAGTAACATTAAAAAGTTTTTCGTCCTGAAATATAATGGATGTTTCCTTTTCACTAGTCTGAAAGATGTTATATAAGTAAAAGAGCCCAATATTTCAGAATTCACCAGTTCAATTAAACAGTGTTTAAGTCTGGGGTTTGTCGCCTTACCTGCCAGGGTGGGATAAAAGTCTTTGACCTCCACAATCTCATATGAGCCCTCGCAGCCTGCCAAGCAGAGACTGTACACTTCAAAGTACTGCGTGATGGCCTGCTCCATGTTTTGGGCACTGCTGCTGAACTCACCGCTGTTGTAAAGCGTCACACTTTTCATGAAAACACTCTGGATAACAAAGAGAGACGTGTGGATAGGGATAGTTTAGCATGGGTTTAATTCGTCCACTGGATAATAACTTCAATGTTATTCTACAAACTTCATACGGCTGCTCCTCTTGGTCGATGATATGTTCCTCCACATCAAACAGTGTCTTGTAGTAGTTCATGTTCTTGATCAGATAGGGATCAGTTGGGTTCTTCTTCAGGAAGGTGTGAGCCGCTGACACGGCCTTCTCCAAGTTGTTCATCTGAGGACAATGGATATCAAAGCATTTGGGGTATTATATTCATTTAATTATGAAACATCATCTCTCATACTGATATCATCATGGACCACTGATGTCAGAATATGATTTTGTGTTGAGTCAGGGAAAAGACTGCTGTGGTGCTTTATGCAGAAATGTGGTAGAAATACTGACACTTACAACAATTTCTTATGTTCATGGTTGTAAAACAAAAATAGTGAGTAAAATCAAAGTCATGTAAAAGTGTATGGGTGGGTTTTTTATCACCATATTGAGAGCTTTGATTCACCTTTGAATTTACAAGAATAATTTAAACTATTCCAATTCATTCTAATTCAATTGTGTCATGTCAATAATTTAATTTAGTTTATGGAGGATCATAGCACAGTTAAAGGGCTTGTGGTGGTGGCTGTGTATTCACAATGACAAGAAGATTACCTGGAGATCTTTAAAGACTTTATGAAAAGCTAAATAAGGTCAGTGTTTTTGCCTTGTAACCTGTCCTCATCACCCTGCCGGCAGAGCATAATAAGGGGTTGTTTGGGGGGAACACTGGAAGAGACGTGGCACATGCTCAACTCCGGCTCGCTCAGCAGGAGGGAGCAACAAAGCAGCAGGGAAACTATACAGCACACCGACCAGCCACATATTACCTCTCCGTGAGTCAAACTCAGTCAATGTGCTTTAGGAAACCGACTGCAAATGATTTTTGCTGTGCAATAGCGCCCGTTACGCACAGCTAATGCTCAATCACATGTAGGCTACTGTATACTACTGTTATTATACATTCTAATGACACCATAACAGCCACATCGCAATTTATTTGA